ATGTCGCCTGGCTTCCTGAATGGGACTTACGGTACTCTGTATTCGGTATCGGCGAGTACCGAAAAAAATATCAGTACTTGTACATAAATACCGGTATCGGTGCATCCCTAATTATGACAATTTTAGTTTTGTGTTAAATGAAGCTGGAGCCATCTCTCTCTCTCCACTGCTCACTTGCATTGTTTTTCCTTTCTTTTCCATAAAATCGTTTTGTTTGTTAACTTGCAATGTGCATCGAAACTCACATGTCAATTTCCTAGCACAGCTCTCTCCCTCCCTGCATGTCATAGCCCTCTCCTCTTCTGTGAGTGTTTAATTACCCTCTGTGGTGGCCCAGCCCCTCCACTCCCTACGTAACCTTTTTTGTAGCTGCCAGGGAAGGAGCAAAGGGGAATACTACCTGTCTAGATGCAATCACTTATCACCGGCTGCACATGATTGCTATGGACTGGCTTCCTGATCGTGACATCGCACCCGATAGCAATCCTGTGCAATGCAATGTGTGCTGGCATGGCCTCTTGTATACTCAAACAAAAATGTGTTTGACAAAGTGAAGGGCTAGTTCACACCAGCCCCAGTGCGTTCCAGCACTGTGGCTGGGGGGCGTGGCTGCAGTGCCATTGACTTCAATGCACCCCCCACGCCCCCTCCCACCCCAGGATGCAGTGAGTCGGCCGGCATGTGATCCAGTGCGTTCCGGCACCAAATTGGGCCGGAACGGACTGGGGCTAGTGTAGGGCTGCAGCTAACGATTATTTTCATAATCGATTAGTTGGCCACTAGTGTGAACTAGCCCAAAAACTCAACCTTGAACTCAGTTTAAAACTTTTCTTTTCCCTCTAGTCTTAGAATAGAGTGGGTAAAGATTAAAATATCTGCTAGGCCTTTACTCTTTAGCTGTTAGTCCATTTAGATTTCCGTCTGCGTCTTAGGAAAACATTTCTCCAAAAGTATAAGTTACATTCCATATACAAAGAAACATCAGAAATGCTTCACAAAAGCATCATAAGCCCAGGAGCGGATCATTTCAGCTCCTTAGATTAACGATGGATCCCGGCTGTAACAGACAGACGGACAGCAGTACTGCTTTGGAGCATCTTTTCAGAGAGATAAGTATTCTACATCCCCCAGGATCTTGCTGGAAGGATGACATAACCCTCACCTAGGCAGGGGAAAAGCAAGTATATTATCTAATGTCTTCTCCCTACATATACATACACATATATATATGTAGGGGTAAGATTGTATATATATATATATATATATATACAAACACACACACACACA